CAGTTGCAGCAGGAGAAGTTATCCAGCTGAAACCGATAACGTTGAGAGCAGCACTAAGCATCTCTCCTAAAATACCAGCAATGCTGCTATTGGCAGGAAAATATGCAAAATAATTAGGACTTTGCCAATGCGTCACCCCCGGTAGTATCTTTTCCTGTACATCTACAACAAGAAACAGAAAACACTTCCAGTGTCATCTTAAAAAAAGTATGAAAAATAGTAATGCAAGAAGTAAAGTAATGAAACCATTCAAAACATGTTGCAATGATTCGGGATAAGTAGGAGCAGAATCTGGCAGAAGCTTTCCAAGATAACCTGGCTGCAATGAGATGGAGACAGGTTTTTAATATAATATAAATGTTAATTACATGAAAATGAAAAGGTAGGTAGAACTAGAATGAGAACCTGAACTTGGCTGAGAACTGGGAAATTATCGATAGTTTTGTAGTAATCAGCAATGAAGTCAACCATTATATGAGCTTGCTCTCTTAACTGCTCAGCGTCCATTGGCTTCAAATTCAAACCACTTCCATTTTCTTCATGTTCCCTGTACGTAAAATTTCAAACATGAACCACATTGAATGTAAGAGATATAGTAGTAGTAGTATAAGCATTATGAGTATGGAGTTTGAATGATACAGACATTTGTTGGTAAAGACAAAATGGCGAATTCTATTGCACTAGTTTTCACTATGTGAAGCTGAGAAGAGAAACAGTACACCGGATAGGATCGAGTAGGAGATTATCTCCCGTGGAAGTTCTCTCGTGCGGAATATGAGCCACTTATTGAGGAGAGAGGGAGTGCCAAAAACATTAGGACAATCAACGGTTCATTGAATTTTGAAGGGGTACCATCTGCACTTTCCACATGAACTCTATTGAAAATTCCCACGTTTTCTATTGAGCCAATTATAATAGATTCTCTCCTAAGAAGTTTAACATTGTTTTGTATTAAGGATTGAGTTTGCACATGTTAAATTTGTTTAAGAATCTATTATAGGACCACTTTGTTTTAGTTTTAAAAAAATGATTTTTTTTTTTAATTTTTTAAAATGGATTTTATAAAAATACTTTTTAAAATATTACAAATTTTTTTAAATTTGTTTTTTATAAATTAAAAGATTAATTTTGATTTACTATAGCATGATGATACATTATCGAAGAACAAATTATAGGCAATTCCGGCTTTTTCAAAAAGTTGTATTTTAAAAATAATTTTTTTATGAAAAACTATTTGAAATAGCTTCAAAATTAAGTGATTTTTTTTAAAATTTTGATATCTAAATTTTTTTCAATAAAATAATAAAATATATAAAATAATATTTTAAGAATATCTAATTACCCGTACTTCCGCATGGGTAAATTTATTTGATACAGTATTAAATATATTTAAATGTACATTTGAAACGTTATAAAATATATTTATATACGTGTTTAAATTTAAAATTAGTTATTTGAAATGAGTTATTTAATTGTAAATTGAAAAATAATTATACAATCTCAATTGTATTAAATAATAATGCAAAAAAAAAAAGACTCGTGAGATGAAGAAAGACAAAAAAAGAAAATTTTGATGTGATAATCACTACAAGAAAACATGAATTTGCTAAGTGATTTAGTGACGTGGTACTCATGTGGAAAATAATGAAAATTGCGACGTGTATATCACGTCACTAAATTATTTTATTAATAAACATAAAAATTTCAAGTTTTGAAATGGTGATTGCTGTTTTTTTTTATATAATTGTTGTGACGTGAATCCCACTCGCAACACAAAACTTAAAACTTTAAAATCAAAGTATTGGATTTCACACGTGGGAGAGAAATTTGAATTTTTCTAGAATTTCATTTGTGGCGTGGTATCCACGTGGAAAAATGAAATTCAAAAATAGAAAAAAAAAAGTGGGAAATATCTCTGTCTGTGGAGTAATTGTTCTGACAGAATTGCAAAGGTTCTGACGTGGAATACACGTGAGAAAGTTCCAACGTGATTCCCACGTCGCTAATTTATATCAATTAATTTTGGACTGACTTTTGTTTTTACCGTTGAGACATATTAAATTTGGTTTGACTGGTGGAAGAGTTCCAACGTGCTTCCCACGTTGCTATATTATTTTAATTAATTTTGGCTCTTTTTCATTGTTGTATATTAAATTTGTACTGACTGGTATTAATTATTAGGAGAGGTTCCGCCGTGAAATTCACGTGACTACTTTCCCACGTGTTTACCACGTCACAAAACTCACTTGTATTAATTATTTTTAGTCTTATTATTTTTTTTTTTTTACCGTTGAGATGATTAAATTTATACTGACTACATTATTTATTATAGGGGTTCCGACGTGGGAATCACGAGACTACTTTTCCACGTTATTACCACCTCACAAAACTCACTATATATTCTTCAAAGTTCCAAAACTCTTCAAGTTAAGCTCTTCTTTTATTCCTTCATTCCTTCCGGTTTCTCTCCCTCCTTCCTTCACAGTTCTATTTTCTCTCCTCTTCTTCCTGAAGTTCATCTCACCATACTATTTTTAACAAGCTTTTTATTTTAAATCAAATGTATGATTTATGTCTTCCTTATTATTTTTTATTCTTTTTATTTTTATTTTTTTATATTTTATTTTAATATTTTTTAATTTTTAATTTTTTAATTTTTTTGTTAAAAGAACAATATTCGGAGGATTCAAGAGGAGCTCGTCAAGATTTAAGATCTAAACTTTATTGTTGCTTCATTGAGGTATTTTTATAATTTAAATTATTTATTTTTTAAATTTTATTGTGTAAAAATTATATATGATTATATATGAAATTATTTAGGTTTTATAAGATTATTCATTTGATTAGTTTGGTTGTTGTTGTTGTGCAAAAAATTTTTTTTTTAAAATATGTTATTTTTATTAAAAACAGAATATATATTATATTTTATATTTTCTATATTTCATATGTTATTTTTTATATTTTAAAAACAGAATTTATAGTTAATATTCAAAATATTTTAAATGTTATATTTAATAAGTTGTATTTATTAAGTTGTTATTTTTATAATTTAAAAATAGAAAATAGAATATTATAGGTTTTATTTTTGTTGTTTATAAACAGAAATTATAAAAAAAATTGAAAAAAATAGATTTTTAAAAATATTTTTATTAAACAGAATTGTAAAATTAATTTAAAAAAAAAATATTTTTATTAAACTCAATTATTAAATTGAAGTATTTTTATTAAAAAGTATTTTTTTTAAATTACTTGTAAAAAATGTATATAACTAATATGGAAAAGTTATATTAATATGTTATGTAGATTTCTTAAAAACACAATTTCTAAAACAAATTTATTTTAAAAAAATAGAATTTAAAATAAAAATAATTCGTAAAATAATTTTTTAAAAACCGAAATTATAAAATAAATAGAAAAAATAGAATTTAAAACAAACATAATTTGTAAAATATCTTTTTAAAAACTGAATTTTTTTTAAAAAATAGAAAAAATATTAATTCAAAAATAATTAATATTAAGTTTATTTTTATTAGGTTAAAATGTATAACTAGATTTTATATTTTTATATTTGTATTTATATATTTATATTTTATAGTAAGAAAATATTTTTAAAACAATGTTATAAAATGTAGAGTATTTTTATTTAAGTAATATTTTTATTTATATTAGGTTAAAATATGAAGTAATATTTTTATTTAAGTAAGTATATATATATATATATATATATATATATATATATATATATATATATATATATATATATATATATATATATATATATATATATATATATATATATATATATATATATATATATATATATATATATATATATATATATATATATATATATATATATATATATATATATATATATATATATATATATATATATATATATATATATATATATATATATATATATATATATATATATATATATATATATATATATATATATATATATATATATATATATATATATATATATATATATATATATATATATATATATATATATATATATATATATATATATATATATATATATATATATATATATATATATATATATATATATATATATATATATATATATATATATATATATATATATATATATATATATATATATATATATATATATATATATATATATATATATATATATATATATATATATATATATATATATATATATATATATATATATATATATATATATATATATATATATATATATATATATATATATATATATATATATATATATATATATATATATATATATATATATATATATATATATATATATATATATATATATATATATATAGTTGTAAAATGTATAATATGTATTTATGAAGTAATATTTTTATTTATATTACGTTAATACAATGTGAAAAGAATTATATTGTTTTGCAAATATTAAAATCACATATTTAATTAAAGTGAAATATAATGATAGTACAAATGTGTAGTATGAAATATTTTTGTTACTATCATAGTTGGATGTCCGATAGAACGTTATCAAACGGACGTGGACTTACACCAAATTTTGAGAAAGGAGTTAAAGGGTTTATCACATGGGCATTTGCTCAAGAATGTTGTCGACGTGAAGGAAGAGTAAGACGTCCTTGTCTTAAATGTGAATGTAGACCTATAATTAGTGACCCAGAGGAAGTAGAACGTCATTTGAAGAGGAAGTGTTTCATTAAAAATTATTGGGTTTAGACATATAATGGAGAACAACTACCGAGTAACGTACATGCAAAGACAACTAATACACATACATCAAGCAAGCAATCACATATGAAATTTTAGGAACAATTTAATCTGATCGACGATATGGTTGACAATGCCTTTAGAGTAGATGTGACATATGATGAACATATTTTGATGGGGAAGAGTTGCCGAATGAGAAAGCACAAAGATTTTACCAATTGTTGAAAGAAATGAATACATTGTTGTTTGAGGGGTCGACAGATTCAAAATTATCAATGTGTGTTAGATTATTGGATGCAAAGTCAAATTGGAATGTTCCTGATCAGTGCTTGGAATACTTTGCAAAAATGATGTTGGATGCGACTCCTACGAAAGACAACTTGCCTACAAGTTATTGTGATGCAAAGAGGTTGGTGTCGAAGTTGGGTTTAGAAGTACGAAAGATTGATTGTTTCATAAATAGATGCATGTTGTTTTATGACAATGAGTTTGGTATTAATGATGAGGTGCTAGAGGAATTTAAGTTCTATAAGAGTCCGAGATATCAAGTTCGTAGTAAAGCCATTAGCCGTAAACAAAAACGTGTAGCAGTAAAGTCCATATTTTATTTGCCGATAATACTAAGGTTAAAAAGATTGTTTGCTTCAATGCATAATGCAAGTCAAATGACATGGCATCATACAAACAAAACAAGTTCATGCACTATGCGACATCCATATGATGGTGAGGCATGAAAGCATTTTGATATGTTACATTCTGATTTTGTTGCAGAACCTAGAAATTTCAGGCTCAGATTATGCTCTGATGGTTTTACTCCATATATCCAAGCATCTGTAATTGCATATTCCTGTTGGCCAGTTATCGTAACCCTTTACAACCTTCCTCCAGAGATGTGCAAGACAAAACCATACATGTTTTTGACTTGCCTCATTACAGGACCGTCAAGTCCTAAAGCAGGAATCAATGTTTATTTATAACCTTTAATAGATGATTTGAAGAGGTTGTGGATCGGAGAATGAACTTATGATATATCTCACAAACAAAAATTTACTTTGTGAGCTGCCTTGATGTGGACTATTAATGACTTTCCCGCATATGGAATGTTATCTGGTCAGGGTACTCATGGCAAAATATGATGTCCACATTGCATGGAACTTACAAAGGCTTTTACTTTGGAATTTGGGGGGAAACATTTGTGGTTTGACTATCACCGTAGATTCCTACCACGAGACCATGTCTTTAGAAGAAACAAGACTGATTTCAAAAAAGATGTAAGAGTAAAAGATTTGCCTCCCACTCGATTGTCACTAGAGGAAATATGGAATCGAGTTTCTGAACTGCCAAAATTCACAAATTATGGTGAAGCATGCAGAATTCAAGGATATGGGGTTAAACACAATTGGACAAAAAGAAGTATATTTGGGACCTCTCATATTGGAAAGATAATTTGTTGCGACATAATCTTGATGTTATACATATCGAAAATAATTTCTTCGATAATATATTTAACACAGTGATGGATGTTCAAGGCAAAACAAAAGATAATGAGAAGGCTAGAAGGGACATGGAAATTTTGTATGATAGAAAAGACTTGGAGTTGAAGCTTCGGCCTAATGGAAAATTATTAAAACCCAAGGCTTGTTACAGTCTAACTTCCCAAGATGCTAAAGCGGTTTGCCGATGGTTAAATGAATTGAGAATGCCTGATGGTTATGCTTCAAATTTAGCAAGGTGTGCTGACACAAAAACTGGGAAGTTGCATGGAATAAAAAGTCATGATTGCCATGTTTTCATGGAAAGATTGCTTCCAATTGCATTTAGTTCACTACCCAACCATGTGCTCTATCCGTTAATTGAAATAAGTCAATTTTTCAGAGTTATTTGTGCGTCAACTTTAAGAGTCAATATCATCATTAAGTTGGACCAAAATATTCCAGTTATTCTATGCAAGTTGGAATGAGTTTTTCCACCTAGTTTTTTTGACTCTATAGAGCATTTACCTGTGCATCTTGCATATGAAGCCTATCTTAGTGGCCCCGTTCAATACAGGTGGATGTATCCCTTTGAAAGATTCATGGGTGATTCAAAACGGTCAGTGGAAAATAAAGCTAAAGTTGAAGGATCAATATGTGCATATTATTTGCATCGGGAAACATCACATTTTTATAGTCATTATTTCAATCATTTAATGCTAACTCCAAGAATCATAAGGAATGAATTTGATGTTAACAAAAGAATTCAATTTACCTTGTCAGTCTTCGATCTTCCCGGTCGTCCCTCTGGAAAGGAGAATATGCATTGGCTAACCCAAAAAGAATTGCAATCTGCACATGTTCATGTCTTAATTAACTGCGTTGAAGTTAGTCCATATCTTGAGTAAGTATACCCCTAAATACCTATCTAGATTTACAAATTGAATTATTACATTCTAACTAATAGTATGTTTCTTTTTAGGGCGTTTAACGCCTCCTATTTTCAAAGCACCGGTGAACAAGCAACTACCGGTCACATATGTAACACCCCACTTCCCAAATTAAATAAAATATAAACATTATAAATAAACATCAGAGTTTTCCCCAAAATAGTGGGATATCACATCACCAAATTTTTATAAAAATACTTTATTAATTATTCTCAAAAATAATACAGCGGAAAACATTATTCCAACATTCTCGGCCATCCGCCAAATTTCGTAAAATCTTTATTATTATAATTCACAAAAAAAAAAGTGATACGTCACAGGATTACAACAAGTTTGACATAAAACAATTAAAACACCCATATCCCGTGTTACGTATCAGAGCATCCTAGACTCGACTGGCACACCACCATCCAAGCTATCTAAGTACCTGGATTATCTGTACTTCCGGAGAAGCACAGACACAACAACAACCAAGGGGTGAGAAAACATGATCAAAAATATATTGGTAATGTAATACATGTAAACAAGGTAGTAAAACACACCAACACACCAATATTCACCCCAACAACTCCATATAACGAACCTACTGTTCAAATTACAATATAACATATTATAATGCAAATATGCAACTCAACACCATGCATGCGGTACCGACTCATTGGTTCATTCAATCGAACCTGGATAGATCACTTACGCTCCTCCTGAGACATGATCTATCCCCCACCATTCTCCACCAAGGAGTACGGATGAATCACTTACGCTCCTCCTGAGACATGATTCATCCCACCAAAACACCATGATATGCACACACCAATGCATAACTATCATATTTAGGCACACTAAGTGCACACGATCCTCCTGATCATATCATCATACATCAATGCATATATGTGTAGATATATTACACCAACACCATATAAATCAATCAGATAGTAAATAAATTCATACTATAACACCATATATAACCACATCCCAACACCCGGGAACACACGATCCTACTGATCACTACATACATATACGTTAACCAATTGTTCACCAACAATATCAAGGAAAACGAGTACCATCACCAAGTAAACAAGTTCATACTTTATCACCAAGATATAAACACGTCCCACCACTCGGGAATACACGATCCTACTGATCACTACACCATGCTCCGCATGATTCATACACCAACTAATTATCCATTTAAATAATTAGTAACGGAAATCACATACTATCACCGAGTACTCACTCTATAACACTCAATCATCTCCCCTATAATCAACAAAGTCCAAGGGCACTACACTCTTAGCGCACACAGTATAACAACATAGAAAAACCCCATTCTGCTACGCTCGCTACACCCTCGCTAGGCGAGCTCCCAGCGAATGCTCGCTACCTGTTCGCTTAGCGAACCTCCTCGCGAAGGCAAACAGAACCTACTAGACTCACTCGCTACCTCACTCGCTAGGCGAGCACCTAGCGAACGCTCGCTGCCTTCTCGCTAAGCGAAGTGCTAGCGAGTTGCCTGCGACTTCTCAAGTTCTCACAGTCCAGAATTCTCACTCTTCTCTGATTCAAGCCTATTCTATAACATCCACTTCCTATACTATCCGTATTACGACCAATGCATATTAGGCTTATCAATCTTCCTATAATTCTACTCCAGATCAACATTACGGCACACTACCGACACTTTAGAGTTACTCTGAACCTTACTCAAACCAAACCAACACCAACAGTCAATCAACAATGGCAACATCAAACATCCGTACATCATCATATACATATTATTCCAAAGTCATCACTTAAACAATCTATCGACACATCAAAAAGGTCACACAGAACTTCCTTAAAACCGTAAACCCAACCTATACGCCAAATTAACCAAAAACAACAATTCACCAACACTCAACATATTTCAATCCATCAACATCAACATAACTCAACAATCAATAGCATGTCAATATAAAACTTCATCAACGATACATTCCTACGGGGTTAAGGAATCCCCACTACCCTATACATGTATATACCATTCCCAATCAAGTTTCTCCCCCTTACCTTGTTAATCGGTTGATCGATGAAATTCTTCCTGGATTTGGTCTCTTGGCCTCCTCTTTTCTTTCCGTTCTTCGTTCCCTTTTTCCTTCGTTCTTCTCACTTCTCTCGTTCTTTCCTCTTCTCTCTTTCTATCGCTCTTTCTCTCTTCCATCTTTCTATCGTTTTATTTTCTCTAAACTTCCCCCATCCCTTCATATTCTATTTTCCTTTTTATTTCCTATCCCAATAATAATAATAACTAATAAAAATAATATAATAATAATAATAATAATAACTAATAAAAATAACATAATAATAATAATAATAATAATAATAATAATAATAATAATAATAATAATAATAATAATAATAATAATAATAATATTATTATTATTATTATCACACCAATTTCCCACGATCTATGGTAATCCCTTTTCTCTCTATTCCAACTTTTCTAATATCTCCTTACTACCCCTTCATATTTCCTTCCTCACGGTTTCTATCATGACTTTTCATATTTCCATTCTAACTTCCCAATAACCCTTCCACCTCTTATTTTACTTATTTCAACCACTAATATTCCCAATAATAATTCTAATATAATAATTATAATAATCATTATAATAATAATAATAATAATAATAATAATATAATACTATTATAATATTATAGTAATATTCAACATAATAATAATAATAATAGTAATACACCCAACAATAATTATAATTATAATAATAATAATACTAATGATAATAATAACAATTATATTAATACTAATAATAAAATAATATGAATAATAATAATCTTAATATTAATAATACTAATATAATATTACTAATATTAATAATACTAATCATAATAATACTATTAATAATAATAATAATATTATTATTATTATTATCTCACCAAAATAATAATAATAATAATAATAATAATAGTAATAATATTATTATCTCACCAAAATAATAATAATATTAATAATACTAATAAATATAATAATATATAATAATAATACCCCCACCAATATTATTATTATTCATTATATTATCATATTCACACCAAAAATCATAATAATATAATAACTATATTAATAATAATATTATATTCTCCATATTAATAATATTACTACAAATATTAATAATAATCATAAATATAATAATAATAATAATAATAATAATAATAATAATAATAATAATAATAATAATAATAATAATAATAATAATATTAATACCACCACCAATATTACTATTATTTCTTATATTATTATAAACTCACCAAATTACCACC